CTACTACTACCACCACCACTGCTACCGCCACTACCGCCGGTCGGTGCTAGGCGAAGAGTTCCTAGAGTTCATGTATGCCACCATCTGAAAAGGGTCCCTGACACATCTTAACCCGCCGACCTTGGGCTGCAGGTGATCTCAAAGCAGCGTGAGCTCACCTACAACACCCGCAAGGAGCAAACGACAGTTGCCCCTGCATCCTGATACGATTTTGTTGAACTAAGTCCGACCCCTGATTCGGCATTGATGTGGAGATTTATTTCGATTGCGTTTCGGAAAGTCCGAGCTGTCAGAAGCAAAACTGTGATCAGCTCTGTCGCTTCGCAGAAGGAGGAGCCTCAATGGGCATACGGAATAAGGGTTTCACTTCCCAGATTCTCACAGGGGCGGTATAGGCGCTCCCATGGAAGCCGGCAGGAATTCCTGGCCAATGACGATGAGGCTGTCCTGAAGCTCGTAAAGGACGACGGGTTTGTAAAGCCGATGCCGCATCCCGGAATCCAAAACCCTGAATCGATACAGTCCAAGGCCTAAGTGAATGAGTTTGAGGCTTGAAACTACAATATTAACATGAAGATGATGCCCTGAACGCTAAACACGGTCACCTTCAGCCCAAAGACTGGCGAAGTCTATGCGGCGAAGGTAGGGGGTCCTCACAGTCCATAGTCATAAATACGGAGGCCCCTTCATTCAAACAACAGAGCCTATACATGAGGACCTGCAGTCCGAGTTTGCGAGCGTAGGTTTGTTCAAAGAGTGCCCGGCCGTCCATGTGGAAGTGGCCTGTCTGGGCATGGTGGGTGAATTAATCAGGGTCTTGCGTGGGCTGTCGTGCAAATTTTGGGGCAGGGGCTTTACGATGGGTTGTAGCCGACAAGAGGTGCTAGACGGCACACAGTTCTGTCAATCTTTGAAGACGACTAAAGACGCGTGCGGTCCGCAACGTGCCGTTTTCCTGCCCTTTGTTGGCTTGAGTCACGGATGCTTTGAGTGTTAGGGAGCGCAGTTGATTTAAGTCGTGCGCATGTCTTCTGGGCCCAGCCCGGCAGATGGTTTTCTGGAGGAGTGGGGAAAGGACGCAGTGAAGTTCCACATCGAGCAGGCGCTGTTGTTGAGGTTTGCTGAGAACATCGCGGCGTTTCCAAGGTTTTGCAGTCTTCGGAGTTTAGGGTGTGAAGTTCAGGGTTTGCATTTAGGCTGTCGCGAGTGCAGCGTGGAAAGCAGCAGCTGTCCTTGTGAGCCATTGCAAGCCAGTTGCAAAGAAGAGTTGAGGCTTTCGAGGACTTCGTGAGTGGCCCCTAGTCCTGTATGCGCGAACCCTAGACCCTAAACCTACCCGTGGAGTAACCCGTTTAGTAAACCTTGCAGAAGCTGTTGAGAAGTAAGACTTAAACTCAACCTGGCAGGTCACAGGCAAAACGCCGGAGGAGGAGAAGAGCGCCGAGGAAAAGGCGACTGAGTTCAAGGAGTATTTCGGCCTGGCGCTCAGCAGTCGGGGATGGTCGGTTCAAGGCCGAGGATGGAGGGTGCAAGGGCTTGATGGTTTGGCGAAGGCCCGATGCATGAGGGCTTGTAGAATTGAGGTTTAATCCTTTCGAGCTTCGGGCCCGAAGTCTTGTGCAACATGCGTTTCGTGGAGCTTCAAGACTTGTATTACTGAGAATAATCACTGTCTGCCAGCTAGACGATAACACACCCAAAACTGGTGGTCGGAAGGAACGCTGTAGAATTAGTGAGTATTCAGGTCGCCTGCGAGAGAGCTTGCTTGTGCCATTAGTTTCGAGGCGTTTGTCCATGTTGGCAGGAATAGTTGGTGACGGACTGTGATGAAGCTTAGCTTTGCAGCTAAATGCCTGAGCCGCAATGTTGTTTGCACACGGGTGTGGCGCAGTGCATCTGGCAATGCCGAGAAGATGATAACCAAGGTTTTTTTGCTGACATGAAACTCGGCAAGCCAGAGAGAGAGCCGGGCCCAAACCCCCCCACCCGCTCGGACCGCACCTGCCATGCCTGCTTTGCGCGAGTGTGTGAGTCGAACCCCCACTCCAAAACCCAAAATGGTTCCCTTAAAGAACCTTCAAAAGGAGCACCGAAACCCTACTTTGGCCCTAGAGGCCCTGGAGCCCCAAAGCTCGAGAGGTCTGGAGATGCCCGAGCTGAGTGCGGGGATGAAGCCTGCAGCTCGTCATATTATCATCTGCGCACGGTGATTTTGGGGTTTAGGGTTCGTAGCCCAAACGCCGTAAACCGGATAGTTTCGACGTTAGCCCCAAATGACAAATCATCAATCCTACACCCTGAACCCCTCTACAAAGCTAAACCGTACACCCGAAGCCCTACAAGCACAAAAGCCCATCACACGCCCTGACTCCTGTTGTCTCGGCTGCAGGGGTTTAGGTTTCAGGGATGTTCGGGTTTGACAGACCCTGGATTTGGGATCACGACACATTCTCTTTCCAACCAGATCTTAGTCGTCGCGGCTTGCTTTCTTTGTAAGCCCAAACCAGGAAATCACATCTGGAAGCAGCCAACTGCGAACGAAAAGCAACCCTGGAGCCTGTAAGCTCTAAACCCTAGCCCCCGAACTTAAAAAAGACCGTCGACTGAGGAGGCGCTTGAAAAATGCCGTAAGCCCTGAAAGCGAAAAGTTTTGTTGGCTTGCCATAGGAAGTTTTCCCAAGGCCCGTGCCTTGCCCGAGAAGACACCGAACCTGCACAGCTCAAAACAGCACCGTTAAAAAAGCCGACCGAAGTTCACCCAGAGGCCGCTTCAAGGTTTGTTGTCGCACCACATCTGAACTCAAAGTAGACCTGAAACCATGGGCCTAGGTACTTTCAAACCGCGTAACAAAGCCCAAGGCATCCAGCCGTAAAGCCTGCAGAAACCCGCCCGGAAGCGTGGAATGTGTGCTTGAAGGGTGGCGGGTTTGGGAAAGTATGGCTTTTTTATCGTATAAGGCAGCGTCACCGAGTTATCACTTCTTGCTTATAACCCTGAACTCTAAAGACAACCCTAGAAGAAGTACTTACATCCTTAATTAGCCACGTGCCCTGATCCTGCGAATGCCGAGGCGGAGGTGGAGGCAAAGCTGAACGAAGTGGTGCAGCAGGGCATCACGGAGAAAGCCGCCTCCTACGAGGTGCGGGGACCCTGCGCGGGGCCTTTCGAATCAAGTCTGGTGATGATGATACATTACAGTTTGTAGCTCTTAATGGCAACTGCATTTTTGTCGTCGTTATGACTGTTGGTTTCTTTACTTGTGCTTAAACTATCATCATAAGTTTGGTTGGTATCAATATCACTACTGCTGCCATTGCTACCAGTCCCTTCTTGGACGTCAGTTCGCTCTTAAGTTCGGGCTGAAGATACGTAGGGCAATGGGCAAATGCAATGTCCCGGGTTGTACTAGATTGGCGGTTCTTTTGTGGTCTGAAAGAATGATGCTACAGGTTCTTACTTCAACGCTGCGGTCTCAAAAGCCCCAGTTGAGGGCCTCGAAACACATTCATGGAAGCCTTGTCGAAAACTTGACTAGGGCATCGCTCGCATACAGTTCCAATTCGACTGAAATCCTTTGCGGACAGCTTCAGCACGCAGGGACCTTGCTTGCAGACGCAACAAGGATAACTCGTTGGTTGTATTGTTGGCAGACATTGCGTTGAAGCATCCTTAGCCGTGAACCCCTGGTTTCGAAATTTGGCATTTTTGGAGCAAAGCCAGTAAGCCAATGTCTTTGCAAAGGAGTTCCGTCCCGGATTCGCGGTCGAAGCCGCGCGTATCGCCACGGTTGTGAGCCTTGGCTAAAGAAGATGGTTGGCTCGTTCGGGATTTGGGGGGGCTTAGGGTCATGGAGAGCGAATGCAAAAGGGTCTCGGTGTTGGGGAAAGGATGCCATGTGGGGTGTCACATGGGGTTTAGGGCTTAGGGTCCAGGGCCAGGCATACGATGTTAGTAGTGAGTCCAACGCTGGCTAGGGCACCGGTGTTCATTCAGGACCATCGATGACGAGTGGAAAGCTCTGCTGCAGAAGATGGACGCATTGAAGCAAACAGTCGGCCGCTTGCCGCATTGCGCATGCACCACATGACATGGGCCACGTCTCTCGACTGAGAAAATCCAGACAGCGCAACTCCCATTTTGCACGATGGCAAGCGACGAAACTCCACATCCTTAATCAGCTTTCATCCGTCCTTAATCCAAAAGCCCCAACCACTGTGAGGCCCAAAATGCATCGTCAATTTAGAGCGAAAGCATTCAAACTCTGCATGAAGCGCACTACAGGGGTCGGTATATTTAGTCATAGTAGCTCCTGGTTGTCCCTACATGAGCATAACGTCCCCAAATCTATTCTGACTATAAGCAGTACTTGCATCAAACCGCCCCGACTCAGACTTATACTGCAAGGCCGAAAGCAATTCTTTCGGGGGGTCTGGTCTTGGCGTTCGAGGCCTTTTCAGGTGCTGATCCGTACACCACCAGAACATTTCATTCCCACCAACACGATGCATGGGGTCATCGGCGCAAAATCGGGGCGGTCCACTCTCCCTGGAAAGGCCTTGCGGCGTACAAGGGTTCCGAGCCCCTGAAGGAGCCCGTGGTGCATCATGAGAAGCAGATATTCGATCTTACTGCCACGATAGGTCTGGGTTCCAATCAGTACGCATCGTTATGATGTTTGTGCTCAGCCGCGCTCACCGCTGGCTTGCTTCAAAACCCAACCCGAGACCTTTCCAGAACTTCCATGCAGGAGTATCAAGTTCAGGGCTTCAGGATGTACCAGAAGGCAGAGACTCCGACGCTGGAGGGCACCGGGCTACAAGAGGAAAGTGGTAACTGGCAGGGCGTTGGGTTTCAGAATCTCCTAGACAACACTACCAGTATGGTTGGAGAGGTCTCGCTCGGAGTGTTTGTCTTGATTGCTTGGAGCTTCTGTTGAGACCTTGAAGCCCAATCAGGGTGCAATTTGTTGTCAATGAGTTGCAGAGCGTTTATGCACGGATGTTGGTTTACTACTGCACCACTACCGCCGCGGCGACGACGACGACGGCGACGGCGGCGATGACGGCAACGGCGACGGCGAATCTGGCTGCTGCTGCTGCTGCTGCTGCTGCTGCTGCTACTGCTACTGCCGCTAGTAGTGGTAGTGGTAGTGGTAGTGGTGGTAGTAGTAGTAGTAGTAGTAGTAGTAGTAGTAGAAGTTGTAGTAGTAGTAGTAGTAGTAGTAGTAGAAGTTTTAGTAGTAGTAGTAGTAGTAGTAGTAGAAGTAGTAGTAGTAGTAGAAGTAGTAGAAGTAGTAGTAGTGGTGGTGCTAGTAGGTAGTAGTAGTAGTAGTAGTAGTAGTAGTAGTAGTAGTAGTGGTAGTAGTTGTGGTAGTAGTTGTGGTAGTAGTGGTGGTAGTAGTTGTGGTAGTAGTGGTAGTAGTAGTAGGTGGTGGTCGTAGTAGGTCGTAGTAGGTCGTCGTCGTCGTCGTCGTAGTAGTAGTAGTAGTAGTAGTGGTAGTAGTAGTAGTAGTAGCAGCAGCAGCAGCAGTGGTAGTACTACTAGTACTGCCACTGCTACCACTACTACTTGTCGTCATAGTATCACAAATTTCTTATTTTCTTAATTCCCAAATTGTAGCATGGAGCGAGAAAAGGGTAAGATCATCATGATAATCATAGTATGATTCGTTGGCCCATGGCTGGGTTTCCGTTTCTCGCCATTTTCCCTCGTCTCCAGGTTGAGAACAAGTACAAGGCCCGATCGGCGCCTGGGCTGCAGTGCTTGAATTGCGGGGTCAACTCAGAGTGTTAATGGTAATATAGGCGCCTTAATAGTGATTGGAATCGGGTTTTGGGATATGCCATACTTGATACTTTACTTACATTATAAGGAACCCCGAAGGAATAAGTAGTGTTTGCAATTGCTTAGGCCTCTGTACTAGTTGATTTGGTGTTCCGGCTGAGAGGTAAACTACTCTCCCCGAAAAGAACATGAAACCTAAACATTGGCTCCATGTGTACTCAGAAGAGGGCTGTTTAGCGGGGGGGATGTTGGCTAGGGTCCAGGGTGTCTCGTGGTTTCAGGTTTCGGGGTGTAGGGCTGGGGTAAAAAGTTGAGGCTTAGCTCTAGGATGTCAATGAGAGTTGTGTAACCGCCAAGGTTTCCAGACAGAGGTGCAATTGGCACCAAATTTTCGCATTACTTCCACTCGCGCAGCGGTCAACAACACTGTTGTTGTCGCCGTTGCTGCTGATGCAGCTGCTGCTCCTGTTGATGTTGCCGTTGCTGCCCTTGTTCTTTCTCATTAACATTCCCATTGGGTTGTCGTCATGCATCATCCGGAGCCTCCTCCGAATCGGCATCTCGTTGTCGTTCTTACTTTGGGCAGTCGTGCAAGTTTTGGACACAAAACAGACTAAAACCAAAGAGCGATTACATTCAACAGAAGAACCTATTCAATTAGTTAGTTAGTAGACAAGGGCAGTAATTAATCATTTGGTCGGCTGTTGGAGGTGAGCCGATGGCTGAGATCAAAGCCGAAGAAGGACGCCAAGCAGGAGTCGTGAAACGTGGCTTGGGCGGATAAACGTACCTAGACAAGCTCCTTGAATCCATCGCAAATTCGTCGGATCTCCACAGAGCCTTGCTTCCCACCATTCGGCATTCCCAGAGTTTCGAAGCCAATAATCGAATGTCAGCTGAGGTGTGAGTGTGTGGCGTTTTCCGGTCTGCATGACAGCTTGCTTTTTCTTAGTGCGATTTTCGGCCTGGCAAACGCCAGGCCTTTTTCATACGGCTGTGGAAGCACAGCGGGGCGACATGAAGCCATCGATTCTCCCAGTGCGATGTCCTTTAAAATGACTTGAGATTTCACTGGCGAAGATTCCGAGCCAAAGGTTGCCCGAGACGTTGGCGCGCTTCAGCGGTTTGAAGCTACGAGGAAGCATGCGCTCACGTCGACGGCCCGAGTACCTGAACAAGGAAAGTAAAGCACCAGCACCATCCGAGCCCTCGGTTCCAGGCGTATGGAAACATGTTTCCCGAGATGTTGTAACATTGTATCTTCTGTGATGGACGAGGTTCATAGATCTTGCGCGGAGGACTTTCCCACCCGGAGGTTGCTTCCGCCTGGAAGAGAGACATCCAGCGACGCCTGCCTGGGGGTTTTCAAAAAGCTGCGAGGGAGCTGCTGCCTCGGCCCCCCAAAAGCTTGAAACCCTAAGGCCCTTGTGCACGAGTGACGAGTAGGTCTACGAGAAGCACGACATTCCTGGGAAGGTGTGCCTCTGATCCGCCTCGCCTGAGTATCCGAAGCCGAAGCGTGAAGCCATGAGACCTTGTACAACTAGATTTTTTTGTTAGTTGTGGTAAATGTGGTATGTTTGAGTGGTTGGGGCTCAGCGTCTAGGCAGACCTTGGGAAACCTGCCAAAGGAATGCTTGCAGCTTTGTCTGGCTGAACGATTTGTCACAACCCTTGAACGCTGAAGCCCCACATCCCTGAAGCCGGACCCTCCGATTCCCCAGCTTCTCAAGAGTAGAGGAACACCTCCTGCACGGTCCTCCCCATAATGATTCAAACAACAGGCTTGTTCCCCAAACTAAAGCAGCACGAACACGGCATGCAGTCGAGTATCACGTCGACCGGCACCTATGGAACCTCGCCTGTCTTGCTCGAGTTGTGAGAGTGTAAACCCAAGCACTAACCCTACCTGAACCGTGCGAGCATTCAGGTCACGAGGGCACCGGGAGAGGTCTTGTCGCTGAGCCCTGAGCACGGGAAGGTCAGCTGAGGGAGCAGCAGGGTCATACGTGGGGGTAGCAAAAACAGGTGGCATACCTTGAACTTGCTTGGGGGATTGCCGTTAAAGTCTGTCAAACCATCAAAACAGTGAATCGAGACCCAAGTTGATCCGGTCCAGGGTTTACGGTTGGGGTTGGGTTCACGAGAGCTTCATTCTTACTAGCATCGGTGATAGTTTTACCGTTGTCACTATTCAGTATTCTGATTATGTTGTCATGATTACCACTTCTGTTAGCTGCTGATGTTTGGGCCAGTGTTGCTGTTATTACTACTGAGTTGCTACTCTTGGTAGTATTACTACCTGCTAGTACGGCTGCTGCCATCGGTATTGTCATCATTATTTGTAGTAATACGCACTAGATTGCAGTTATTGCCAACATTGCTATCATTACTATGGTTACTCTTATTGACGGTATTGCTATTGGAGTGGCTGTCGATAGGTCGTCGTGCCGTCTGGGCTCAGCAAGCGAGTGTGCAAACCAACCCCGCTTCTGTGCCTAACTTCGTCTCGGGCACCATGGCCGACCGAAAAGCCGTGCCTCGCATGAAGGAGCTCTTTGGTTGAGGGTTCAGGGGTTCTGAAAGAGCCTGCAGCAAAAAGGGTTTCCGACAGGTTTTGCGTAGGAGTTCTCAGGGTTTAGGGCTTCGGTTCTTTTGGTTGGGGTTTCGGCAGTACGGACATGGCATTCCCGTTTGAAAGACCCCGCTCCAACAATTGCCTAAGGCCCCTATGTCAGGGTAGCGACGGTACAATTGGTCCAAGTCTAAACCTGGGTTCCATGTCACTATGTGCCTTCAGCGCGGATGGCTCGATCGACTCGCCAAGCTGGTTGAAGCCCTACGTCGGGGTACTAAGTATGCAGGTTTATCAGCAAGGCAGCTAGAGTCATCAATACTTGGACTTCAATTGAGGTTCGTATGGCCTTGCTTACTAAGTCCTTCCAAGCTTTTGGGCCTCGGGCTTGGAACGGGAGGTCTGGAGGTGACCGGGTTCCAGTACATGCCTGTCATAAGGCTTGCTTCACGAAGCTGTGTGAGCCAGGATCCCAAACCTGGTCAAACTGAAGATTCAGCTTCGGGACCGGACCCGCACGGGGTTCGAGGGTTTCGGGCATTGAGGGTTGAAGGTTTCGACGGCAGCCCAGGTCATCAAGAATGCAGACATGGCGGAGGACATGCAACAGGAGCACCCGTCGTGTCTTCATAATATTGTCTGGTTGGCTTGTATTGCTTTTATTTTCAGAAAGTGTGGTATTCAGTTGTAAGGTCCAAGTTCACCCGGATGTTTGTTCATGACCAATCCAGGAGCATGGGCGAATGATGCTTGAGTGCGATGCTATAAACCCTAAACCCTGTGTGACTGTTCGCAAAACTAAACCCGTGGAAGGATGCCATCGACTGCGCAACGCAGGCCCTGGAAAAGTACAACATTGAGAAGGACAGGGTTTAGGTAGACCCATTCTTGGAGGCTAAGATGTTGATATTGTGGATTCCGGGACTGACAGTGTGGCGAGGAAACTGGGTGCGCAAATTTGGCTTTCAACTTTCAAGTATTTCATCTGGTCAACAAAAATCGCACGTCGAAGTCGTGCTGCAGCGAAGAATGCAGCATTCGTGTTCGTGCCTGTGTCCCCATGCAGGACATTGCGGCATTCATCAAGAAAGAGCGACCCAGCTGAGAACATTCATCAACTGAATCTTCCCACAGCGCTGTGAGAGGCATCAGCCCAGGAAGCGGGGTGCAGTGCTTTCGGATGGTTCACGTTGGCAAGCCTGGTCCTCTCCTCCTCGTCCGGCCCCTCCTCTTAGCTGCACCTTTTGATTGACAGCTCCTGGAATCTCACCGATCGTTGCTTTTAAAAATTCGAAGCCCGAACCTCCGAAAGCCTTGCGCCCAGAAGCTTATCGACGGAACTCCAGTCTGAAGCCTTCAACCCCAAGCCCTGAAGACCTTGTGCCCCAGCCCTTGAGCCCTGAGCCCTGAGCTATTGCTTGTCTGAATCTCCTACACGCTGAGAGTATTTCCTAAATTCCAGCCGAAACCCTGAAGCTTATGCGATGCGGGAGCCAAGCTTTGACCCCAACCCCTAGACGAAACCCTTAACCCCAAAAGCCCGAAACCTTCGGGCTTTCTTTGCCTCCACCTACCCGCATTGCAGGGTTGAGTTTGAAAGTTCAACGGAGACTGGCTTGTGCAACATCGGCGACGCCACACGACACAAAACTATACAAGGTGGCTTCTTATCAGTTGTGAGCCGCGGCTTCGAGGCATTTGTTGTCACGAGGGCATGAACTCCAGCCGTGGCTCACAACTGATAGGAACTACCTTGTATAGTTTTCAGTCGTGTGGCGTCGCCAGTGTTGCACAAGCCAGTCTCCGTTGTACTTTCAAACTCAACCCTGCAATGCAGGCTCGTCCTAGCTAGGTGGGAGGCAAAGAAAGCCCGAAACCTACCTGCCTTTGGCACGATTGACACCCGCAGTGTCCGAAGTCCAGAACTAGTTCAGACGTCTGAATCCTGGACTTTGAGGGTTATGAACGAGCCAGCAGGTTTTACCCCCTATTGAAACGTGTTTGCCTTGGCTCGTATTGGTTGTCTCACTTCAATGAGACCTTGAACCACATGCCTCGCCTGGACTGTCCGAGTGTGAGTGCCGAAAACCCCAAAAGAAGAAAACCCCAACAGCATGGTATACACTCTTAAAACCCTAAACCTCCAGAGCTCATCCCGGAGTCCAGGGCCACGGCTTAAGGGTTTATACAGGGTTTAAAGCCCTTAAACCCCTAAGCCATACACTTAAACCCTAAGATAAGGTGAAGCGAGCAAAAAAAAATAAGAAAGAGAAGGAGCCTCAGAGGCTACCGCTTCGGGTTTCGATGCGTTTCGTGAGCATCAGGTTGAACTGCTGAACTCTCCTAAAGCCCTGAACCCTCAGAAATCCACGCCGCGAACCCTTGATCAAGCATTAAAAGATGTCCGAGTGTGAGCACCGAAAGCCCTTGCAAAAGCCGCAGTCCTAACAAAGGTTCGACAAGAAGTACAACCCCACCTGGCATTGCGTTGTTGGTCGCAATTTTGGCGCCTTAGTCCGCAGTTCCCGTCGCTTTCGGTGCTTTGGGAAATTGGCTGTGAAGCAGTACTGAGTTCTTGTTAGCGAAGCTGTCTCAATCCTTACGCCATCATGTTAGGCATCTGCACCAACTAGTTTGCTTTGCTCCTTATGGTAGGTTGCATCAAGTTCCCTGACCCGATCCGAAGTAAGCTGCAAAGGCTCTTATGTGACCCACGAGACGAAGTGAGGAGCTTAGCGCGGCTTCTGTTCGAGAGGGGTTTAGGACCTTTAGGATTTAGTTTACGCCAGTTAGGGCTTTGGTTTTCGGGTTATGCGGCCAGTCTGGCACACAAGAGAGCCCCAGAACGTAGCAAGCAGGGTTCGCATTGGATGCGGGCATCAGGACGCTCGGATTTCGGATTGATGGCTTACGAAAGGTTGAGGGTGCAGGATGTAGGAATCCAGAACACCCAGGCACTTCATCTACTTCTACCTTGGGCAGGTGGCGATCCTGGTGTTCAAGTCCGGCTAGGCTCCGGCCTAGCAGATGTCTCGGGTTAGGTTTGCATGCGCAGTAGGGTCGGAAATCTTCCAGACTCTTTGTTTTTGTTTGTGTTATGTAAGCTACTGCGGTGTAGCATATTCACAACATGCAGGAACGCCTTATCCACACACAATACATTTTTACATACGACAGCATCTTTTTCTCTGAGTGAGGAATTTTGGTTGGGCCCCTTGATCATCGTTATTTGGGAAATACATGTATTCTGGTTGAGGGTTCGGATTCTCAGAGAAGCTGGGCAACTAATCGTGAAAAAAAACGAGGCATGTATCCAGGTTGAGGGTTCAGATGTAAAAGCCAGGCAAGCGAACCTAGTGGGTCTCTGGCCTCAAGGACCCTAGAAACCACAAACCTGAAACCCCAAACCCCAAGCCCTTTCCCCAAGCATCACACAGGACATCGCGGCCGATGGTCAGCAAGACTTTGCAGAGCCGAGTTGCGAGACGCGTTTGCACAGAATTCGGTATGCTCTTGCTGTGGCCGCTGTGGTCGGAATGGATATTGTGGGAGAGCCCCCAATTTGCTGAGACTTGTGAAGTTTCAGAGGAAACGCTTTCCGTTGTGCTTCGAACGGCTTGGCTTGCAGATGCCCACAGATCTACCTCCAACTTCAGATGTTTCACTTCCCGGCCACCTGCGAAGGCATACTTTGCTGTCGCTGCTCCCCCAAGCGGCACGATACCAACAGGGTGTTGTGTCGACTTCGAGGGTCGACGTTCTGTTGCTCCATCAGAAGGACGGTGTGCAGACTGCAGGCTTTGGGACGGACGCACGTACATGCATGGGTGCATGCGTACGCGCACACACACACACGCAGACATGTGCACATACACACATAGAATCACTTACAAACATGCCTGTGTGCATGCATACATGCATGCACACAACACGCACGTGCATAGTATGTGGATAGGTCGATAGATCGGCAGGTTTATGGTAGGTAGATAGATAGGGAGATAGAGAAGCCAAGATATAGATAGATATGTATATATATATATAGATATCGATAGATATAGATAGATAGAGATCAGGTAGGTAGATGGGTGCTTGGGTGGGTGGGTGGGTGGGTTGGTAGGAATGTCGGTAAGTGGTAGACAAATATATAGCTCCGCACACGCAGAAAAATTTGAGCACGTGTATGCATGCATATTATACATGCACTCGCGCGCACGCAGGTGTGTGTGTGTGTCACTACATCAACAAATACGCACAGCATG